GACTCACTTGATTCCTGGGATTGTGAACAATCACCATGCCGGGTGAATACTGAAACTACTACCTAGGATATGAACCATAGACTATCGTCCCCCACGAAATAATGTCGGATCTTCATATCCCCAAGTTATGAATAATGTGGCTTCATTTAAAACATCTTTCTCAATTTGACCAGAGTAAACATTAGAAGTGAATTTATGATAAGGACAAACAACAGTTGATATGGAATTATCTGAATTGTAATCAAACTCTAACTCATTTAATACTCGTGCATTGCATCGAACAAGTTTCTCACAAGAAGCAAATGCATCATGAGGACAAATAATATTTTATATGACATCAAGATTTGATTCTTCTGAAATAGATTCCTCGAATTTATTAAGAATGTCATTGCAGAGTAAAGGATCATTAGAAAAATCAGCATCAATTAAAACTACATCAGGTTTTTGATCATGATTAGGTTCATCCGAAATATTTTCACCAGATTTGTAAGAAATTTCATCAGAAATATGTGAATCATTAGGAAAAATCATATCTGGTACAATAACATGGGAAATCTGATAGGTTGATCGATTAGGAATGGTTGTCTCGGAAGGATTCTGAGTTTCACTTAACTATGAACTGCTATATGACGCTAAATTGTCTTTTGAAATCACTGATAAAGATAAATGATCATTATAAATACTCAACTTTATATAAACAGAATCACAAACTGAGTGAATATGTCTAATACCACCATATTTAAAGCACTTAGAATTATAAAAATTTACATGAATTAAAAGAGTGGAACCTGCCACAGGACAAACATTGACCAAACTTGTGCCCATCTTCGTGAACTGCATTGCAACTCCTCAATGAATTATCTGCATAACCTTGAGTATGCACTGGGATGGGGTGACGTAATGTAGTGGAATTTTTCATATCATCATTTTACGAAATCGCCGTTTACTGAATTCGAAATTTGTATACTTAACATAGTCTAGCAGTAGTTCCTTGAGAGTTGTATAAGAAAGCGAAATGGGCTTTTTCTGTAAAGCCAAAAATTTTAATGGGCTATATGCTTGTTTCCCGATGAATGTGAGAAAATGTGCCACAATATTAATATTCTCATCATTTTCCTTGGTCATAGCCCAGATTTCGAACCTTTCAAATTAATCCTCATAAGCATCAAAATCCGAATGAATATCTAACTGTTCCATCACAGGCCCCATCGCGACGTCAATATGATAATTAGGTGTAATTGAATAATAGTATGAACTAAGAATCCCAGAAATAACGCAATTGAATCAAGAATTACTACACAAGCACTAACGAATATACTGTATATAGAATTCGAAATCAAACATTCAACAAGTACAAACCAATCATTGGTTCATTCAAACACCAGCAAACCACGTAAGCAATACGCTTTACTGTATAGTGGTAGCAAAAACCGAGGAAACATTGTAGGTTTTAGTGCTATGTTAAGCCCACATAGGCTATTCTAGTTTCTGGACAAACCATTTTATTCATTCCTCTTGTGTAACATTTTGACTTTGTAAGCGTGTATCCACATTGCTTGTCCTACTCATCGCATGTCTGTAGCTTATTTTTATTTGACTGTAAATATTAATTCATAATTAGCTAAATTGAGTTGGCTCATATGCCATCAACGATGCGTTTCGTTTCACTTTCTTTTTCGTTTTGCCATTCCTTATTTTGAACGAACAGAAGTTCAGTTTATTTTTAGTCATGATCAAGCATAAAGTGTAAAATATTCAGTAGTGAACACTTTTAACATTGTATTTCCTGCTTACTAAACATATCCCAGCATATCTATTTAATTTTTGAGACAACGGTTTGATGCTTAATTCCCTTACTTAAAATGCGTTTCGATAAACCTCGAGTACAATACTGTCCAGGGAACATAATTCGAGTTTCAGAAAATATCGACAGTACTAAGCATTATTCCTACTTGAAATAATCGATCCACATGTTTATAAGATACAGTCAGGAATTCAGATAAAGAGTCTGGCTTAGAGATATACAAAACGTCTAGTGAAATCATTTAAATAGCGAAAGTAACTCATAATACCATTAAAGAACTCAAAACACTTTAGTAAGCAGAATTACCTCAACAATGTCATCAAACCAAGCTGTACATTCATACTTATAATTAACTAGCAAATAAAGTAGCCTTGAAAAATAGAAGAGTGAAATAAGCGTCAATAAAGAGCTGTGACAATCAAAGATTTAAAGAATGATCATTAGATATCAGATATGTAAAAAATAAATGTCGACTTGACAAGTATGAGGAAGGTGAAGAACAAGTTGAAGACGTCAAAATCGAGTAGTTCGATGTGAATGTCCCCACCCCTCGAATTCTCACTGGAGCTGAGCTCTATTTCTCGTTCCTGACCATCATTAATGTAGCAGCATTCAAACTCGAGATAATTCTATGTCGATTTCGGCTACATGATCTAATGTTCCCACAGAGGTGTTCATTAAAATTTTGGACGAATGTCAGCTAAATTATGTTGAGATTTCAGTCCACTTTCACCGGTGACCCTGTTTCGTAACTCAGTTCACAAGATCCATGTAATATGGGCATCTTGCCATTGGTCAATACACTTGCTCAATTGAATATAATTGACGTCAGTCGGGATAGAAATCGTTCGAAAATAACGACGGACCAATTGATACTAAGAAGTGTGGTTATAATTCAGTGAAGATCATCACCACCTGTGTGATTGTTTTAAATGTGTCGTATAAACCGACCATTTGTAAAATCTAACTGTAGGTAGAATTAAAAATCAGCTTTTCATTTCATATCCACTAAGCTTACTGCGTACAAGTGAATATACACCTTTTAAATAAGGTATACTATAAGCTGTTGGAGAGAAACTATTTGCAAAATGTACACTCTGATTACTGATGGTTTACATAGATATTTGTCCCTACTTTATTGTCTTCTTATTTGTATTATTTAGCAAACAATAATCTCTTATTACTCAGACGATGTACGTTGTAACCCATATTTACAATATGTATATAGTATTCATGAAGAACATACCTGAATTGGATTCGACAAAACTTAGTCAGTGTTTTTGCAAAAATTACTGAATGTATGGAAGCAAATCGGACATCAACGTGAAGGTTATGTATTAAAGCTTCACTCATGGTTTATCACCACTTAATAAAATGATTCTCATTTGTTTAGACTACATGATAAGAGACTGAATTTTGGAATTATGATATATTCATCAGCATCTAGTCCATTAAAGCCATCCATCCTAAGTACAAGCCTTATCTATCAGTGCATATTGTAAATTATTTCAAAAGCAAAGTCTCAGATAAACCTTGGGAATAGAAATGGTACTTAATCTACATTAACCTTTCGAAAATCACTTTTAGAAATGCACTCAATGATTACAATCAACGACTTATATAAACAACTTTACTGGTATATAAGTTTTGAGGCTTGTAACCGAAGAGAACCTAACAAGAACGAAACAAATATCTAGTGACCTTTGACTGGTAATCACATACCTACAAGATGGAAAGTTTTAATTACCACGAATATTACGGGTTTCAACCTTTAAGCAATCTTTCTGTTCGCTACTAACAACCTAAAAAACCTCTTTTTTAGACACTAACTAGCTGATCTACAGATATCATCCCTCTCACAAAACCAGAAGGTGATATTTACGATCCCAGTCATCGTTATTAATATATACTTGAAAGAAGTCCTTATCCAGAACCAAACAATTATCCACGGATTTCAAATTCGCAATCACTATTCAAATGATGCAAGTATGCGAAGTCAACTAATTTCAAATTAATCTATATTCAAAATCAGTTTTGCAGAAACAAACACAGAACCTAAGTTAACAGAAAATATATATCAGTAATATAAAAAAGCCCTTCACCATGTAAGAATTCCATTATATATCCACCACAGTATCACATAATTCCGACATGAACTCCATAAGCATCTATGGTCCTGTGTTTTCCTGCGAAGAAAAAATGCTGCTATTTTCGCTTCAACTATGCACCAGAAGGATTAGGTTCACTACATAAGAAACAATTCACTTTTATTTACGGCTTCTGGAAAGCTCGCCATTTCATCCATTAATCGATCGAAATATCAACAGAATTATCAAAAACTAGGAATGTTTTTTTGGCACTGAATGTCGAACAACCTAAAAGCCAAATTGTTTTTAATGAACTGTAAACAAAAGATTTCTACTACTGACTACAACCATAAATACCATCACTATATTAGAAAATAGTTTAACTGAGTGAAAGTTAATCATTGCGAATTTCTATGATGCAAACGACTACAAGAAATTAACGACTGGGAAGTATAGTATCATTTTCGTTTTGGATGCAAACATAGCGGATACTCATCGTATCATCAAATTTTATGCATTATATGGTATTTCAGTCAAAATCTGTTCAGTATGTTTTGTGAAATGTTTATATTCCTTTTTCCTTACCAAAACCTAAATCAAAGTTTATATTTATTCAAGATTTTAAAATTATTTTCACCTTGTGAGGTAGCTTATGCTCAGTACGCGTGTGATATATTATTGCATGTAAGGACAGTTTACCAGATTTCTTGGATGAGTTAATTATCGTCAACGTTTACAATGTGAATGTTATTTCCGACACTTTGATCATTTCCCAGTTCGCTTAGTAAGTGAGTACTCAATATGAATGTAATCTCTAACAAACATTTCATTTCAAGTCCTAACCTTTGATACATTTGTCCTTCCATCCAGAATACCGTTACACAGGGCAGTTGTGGACAACTTCAGACAGGTGAAATGAAATCTTTCGTGACAAACACGTTATATGAATCACAGCAATAGAAAGCATGTTATTTAAGCACTGATCGAATCAATATTGATTACATTCACCTGAAGGAATGAGGATAGTTTCTCGATCAACATGTAATTAGTCAGTCAGGGGAAATTATGACAATGACATATATTTACAAATGACATAAAAGAAATTTCATACTAGATCCAAAACATTTATTTTTCGAAATGAAGTATATAGTACTAAGTAAATGATAGTAATATATCAACTGAACAGTTTTGCATCTAAAATTGGTTGCATTTCAATGTACTTTACAATAAGACGTCGCAAGCCATATCTAATGCTTTTTGGGTTACATTTCTATATTTACCATTTGAATATCCTCGTTCTCTCAATAAAGATGTCTTTGTTACTTAAGCCTGTTACTCCCAACGGAGCATAGACCGTCGACCAGAATTCTCCAACCCACTCTGTCCTGGGCCTTCTTTTCTAGTTCCATCCAATTTTTGTTCATTTTCCTCATGTTTGTCTTCATTTCTTGACGTAATGAGTTCTTTGGTCTTCCTCTCCTCCTTCGACCTTGAGGATTCCAAATGAGGGCTTGCCATGTGACGAAGACGGGTGCTTTCCTCAATGTGTGTCCCATCCACTTCCAGCGCTTCTTCCTGATTTCTTCCTCCACTGGGGTCTGGTTTGTTCTCTTCCACAGTATGTTGTTGCTGATAGTATTTGGCCAACGGGTCCTAAGTGTTCTGGGTAGACAATTGTTAATAAACCCCTGTATCTTCTGGATGATGGCTTTCGTAATTCTCCAAGTTTCCACCTCATACAGTAGAACTGTTTTGACATTTGTATTGAGAATTCTGACTTTGATAGTGGTTGACAGTTGCTTTGAGTTCCAGATGTTCTTCAGTCTGGTCCCGCTGCTCTACCGCTCTTGATTTGTCTGATAGCCATGCTGATCTCTCCCACTGTTTGTGGGCCAACAGTGGTTGGGAGGTCCGTGGGTGCTGCTTCGATGTTGTACGGGCTCTACCCACCTGTTTCGCTGTTCTTCAATGTTGGTGATTACCTTGCCTTCCTTAATTTCCGCTGGTCATTCTAGTTTACGATAATTTCCAGCGAGCTCCTTTGTTGTATCATAGAATTGCTTCTTTCTCTTGTAGCCTTCTCCGCCGTCATTGCTAGATCTTCCACATATTTACGTTTGTTGGCTCTGGTGCTCGTCTTCACTTGCTTGTTTGCTTCTGCAGACTCAGCTTCTACCTTGGTTTTCTCTGCTCTTTATCGTCCGATATTGATTGCTGCCTTCTTGTTCCTCTTTTCTTGAATCTTATACAGTGCACCAACAGTAATCCATTCCTTGTGATGGTGCTTCTTGTGGCCCAGAACTTCATGACTTGTTGAAGTGATTGCCTGATTGATCCGCTTCTAGTTGTTCTCCATAGTAGTTCCCCCTCCATTTAGTAGCTTGTGAAAGGCCTGGAACCTATTGCTTAGGGATATCTAGGATTTGTTGAGTCTGTCAATATCCCAAAGAAAGGCTGTAACAAACTTTTGTGATGTTCGCTGCGTTGTCCAGAGCTTCTTGAGTTTCAGCTTCATATTGGCGACCAGCAAGTAATGATCTGAGGCTATATTAGCTCCTCTCTTGGTTCTTGGCATTTAGGTCTCCCATCATAATGGGCATTTCTCAACGATTGACTGCAGCTTATCCGAAGGAATTCGGCTTCCATCATGGGACGACAAAACTCTTCTAAATGAGGACCTCCTAACCCCCAGAGAGTTTAAATGATTTGAATTATTTTTCCTCGTTAGCGAGTTTCTTTTCTACAAGATGGGAACGCTACCCGATGCCCAAGTCCCCCACTTTCTCCGGGATCGAGGCCAGCAGAAGTCCTAGAGGGGTTCCAGGGGGAGTTCTTGTTTTCGTGACTAACATCAAATCGAATTTCATCTAACGAGCTACCCGTATCACTCCCGAATCTAAGGTGACCTAGGTTATATAAACAACTTTGTGTACTTGGCCTCGAACAGCATTTCTGTGAGGATTATTAATAATATTCAGCTGTATAAAACTATATACATGTATAACTAGTCTATCTAGTACTAATATGTAGACAAAAACGCGAAGAACATTTGATGCAATCCACTGTAGATCGGATACAAGTCAAAATCAGACGCAATGGTTATCATGACCAACTACACTAGTCAAACTCGACTTCAGCTATCAGTTGAACGATGTGTTTTATTACGCCTGAACGGTAATCCATACGATGAGCACAGAACATTAATGCTTCTCGAATCCCAGTGCACGTAACGAGCGAGTCATCCCTATCCTAATAATTTTAAGATCCAACGAGCAACTTTGAACTTTCATACATATAAAATTTGTGTTCACATAAATTCGATCGACCATATCGTTCAATTTGTGTGGAATTTATCAGTTTGCCTGCACTTACTTCCTTATTTTATTCATTGTTTGTCCACTTGGACTATATATGCTAAGGCATAAACTTACTCAGTCAGAAAGGTTATATACCAATTTTCTTACTTGGTTCGAATACTTACTCTACGTCTCGCTCTCAATACATATCATCAGGTGGGCAGGTTACTAAATGCCTAAAAACCCATTAATCCTCGTCACGTTCAGAGACAGGCAACACGCGTCAGTTGACTACACGCAATGGACTGGCCCATATGTTGATGTTCGCACTTTATTCCTTTCACCTACTCTTACTAATATATTTCTGTAATAACATCCTTTGTGTTACACGGTCTTCAGAGCAGCCATAGTACCATGATACGATGAAACGGCAACCGACGTTAGGTGCGATTTCGAAGTTAGCTATTTCGTCCCACTACTCCCTTCTTGCTCCAGTACGCCCCAGTCATTCAGCTCAGATAAGCTGAGTTAGTGATCTACATGGTATTCCCAATATTTCGTATCTGAGTGTTTCAGATCTAAATCGAACGACAATGAGGTTTTCGTGACCAATCTTCTAAGTTATCGTTCAATGCTATATAATAGCAAAGTTGGGGACGAGTCCCAAGAAACGACGTAGCTTCTCGACAGGTCAAATTGCAATTAATCGTTGGTACTTTGTACGTCATCTGGGTTCTTAAAAAACTTACGTAAAACCCGACGGACCTCTCTAAACTCTCAAACATGGGATATCTGTACTCATGAAGTTAGAGAGTAAATGTACCTGTGCCACCGGAAACGATCCTAAGTTCACTCAAAACCACTAATGTAAGCACCTATCAGTAACCTCAGAGCCCAAAAGATATTCAGAAATCGATCGAATTTGAACTTACCACCATACAGCTAGTCATCGTGGCACTTAATTCCGGGTACACACTCGCTGATCTACAGTAAATTGCCGTTGAGACGCCAAATAAACGAAAGAAATCGCTCGCTGGCTCCCCGTTTCGGCTAGGTGATGTATGAAGTCACTCCGAAAAGTAAGAGAACAGGAGCTTGTGACTGCATACCATAAAACTTAAAATCCGACAACTAAACTGTAACAGTCGGCTTTTGGTACAAGTTATGGACATCTTTACTTGCATTGGACACTCACAAACGCATTTGAAATTGATGAAGGCCTTTTATAGGTCTGTTAACGTTAAATGGCCAGTTCATGCAACCGCACGAGAATGAACTGCTACTTAACTAGTCAGAATACGAAGCTTCTACAGTACCAAGGTCTGAAAAGAACATTCTAAGAATTCAGTCTACTGCCGAAACCCGTGTTATCAGACTGCAAACAGTGCTCTCCGATATGAAGAGCTTGTGTTGCAATTACACATCACATATGTTGTGGTACCGCAGCATAAACTAGGATTGCTACAAGTAACACGCCACATAACTAGCGAGATATCCGAATTTAGTGACATTGCGAGGAATTTACTTACCTTCAAGTCCCTATGGAGATCACTTACTAAGTGATAAAATGACAATTCCAGATAAGTGATATTTGTCGAAATGAACTATGAGGACTCATCGACCTGATCATTTTGTGGAATTCTAATTAACATCAGTGAACAGCGGTACTCGATTCTCCATACCAACTCATGAGTAATTTACATCATAGCACCGTAACTTTCACCAATATTTACAAAATAACGGTAAACAATCAGAAAATTGACATAGATCTTGTATGACTTGATGTTTATAATAAATATTACATAACGGAGTTTAGTTATCGTTTCCATCCCCCTCAGCTGTTTGGTCACTGGCCCACAACTAATTAGTCAAATTAGATCAACTAATAGAAATCTTACCGTCAAGTTGTCTCTTAAAAGCTGCATAATTAGTGTGCTGTCTTTGTAGGAATCATCTTGAAGCTGATCAAGTTCCGCTATTGCTGAATCGAAAGCGCTTTTAGCTAACTCGCAAGCTTGAGGAGCATTATTTTGTATTTCGTAATGGAACACAGAGAAGTTAAGAGCTAAACCAAGACGGATAGGATGAGTGGTGGGCAACTTATTGGCAGCCTCAGTAGCTTTTGTGTAAGCATCCAGTGATCTTTGGACCACTTCAGCTCGAGTCTTATCACTGGCGACTTCAGCGAGATACCGGTTGTAGTCACCTTGCATTTTCAGAAAGAAAACTTTGCTTTCGTCGTTACTTTCCTGTACAAGCAGATAATCTTTGAGCAGAGCCTAAAAACAACATTAATACTTAGTGTTCCACTTACCAAAACCTGATCACATATTGCATTCAACTCCTTTTCTATTTTAATACGGTACTCTTCTGCAATTTGACTTTTAACATGGTCATTTGCCGCTTTCGTTTCGCTTCCAGATATCACTCTCCATGCTGATCTTCTAGCACCAACAACATTTTTATATGCCACTGATAGTAAGTTCCGTTCTTCGTTCCCCAAATTCCCCGAAGCCTCGGTATACCGCTTCATAGCTGCCGCCATGTCATCATATCGTTCAGCCTGTTCAGCAAGTTTGGCGATATGAACCAAATCAGTGTTAGATAGGCCTTCGCACTGTGAAACCCACGATGTAGTCATGACAGTATGACTGTATGACACTACGACAGCTGGATTGCGATAACCGGTCAAACTGGCGCGTAAAGTTAACTAATATATAGATAGGTTGTAAAACTAGTTCCACTTCTAAAAGGTAAACCTCAAACTAATTATCAAAGGTTTTGATAATAATTATTTACGTTTGTGATTGTTTTTTAGAATTATTAATTGTTTTGGTGGAATTCCGTTTTATTTTGAGGTTAGTAATTATTTGTCGACATAAACAATATTTGATCATAAATTTATCGATCTCTCTCGGTATGATCAAATTAAGTTCTGGCTTCCTATTTTCTTTCTCTATCTTTGGTCAACTCATCACCAACCAGCCAACTTATCAACACTAACCACATATCCTGCCATTTAACAAACACAAGCTTTCACAATCTATCTTATGCATAGAATTGCACTACCGGAAATATACGGTTTCTTATACTTCATTGATATCTATAAATGTATTAAAGTATTCAGTACATTTTAGCATGATTATTCCTTCAGCTATGTATTTAGTCGAGATGTCATTGAAAACCTCATTATACAAATGACTGCACAGCAGGTACATTTCTCAAATTGCGTCAAGTTACCTGGTTCTATTTTCTTGTTACTTTTTCTGTACTCATGTATCTGTAGCGAATTATTTTCTGAGTAGGTTAATTTCAAGGAAATAACAAAGAGGTCGTGTATGACCGACCTGAAGCAGTTGTCTCTCGAGTGCTGCAGTTATGTTCTCAGGTCGCTAAGGCCACGTCTAGCCCAATTTCCTTCTCGGGCACCTTCAGAAGAAATCTTCCGCAGTGTGGGCAGGCGGGGAGTGGTAACCGCCCTCATACCTCTAACAGCAGTCAAGACCGTCGTGTTCATAATCAATTTCTCTCTTCTGTTTCTACAGTTACCTCTACCTCAACTGTCAACTCTATACTTCATGTTTCGGATTCCTACTCAGGTGTCACCATAGCCAACGGTTCTAGTGCACAAAACACTGTCCCATGTATACTGAAACCTGGCTCCAAACTACACATTGGAGCCTTCGACGTACTCAACCTACGTCGAATCGGTCAACAGGCCCCCTTGGCTAAGACCCTAGGATCTCACACCATTAACGTATGCTATGTCTCTGAATCACGCATACAGGATCCTTGTGTGTTAATTCAGTTGACCTCACCTCTCAAAAACGGAGAGCTGACGAGCTACACTCTTCTTGTATCTTTCCACCCGATGGCTACTTCTCGTGAACTGGCGGATGTAGGCATACAACTGACTACGAGGGTACAACAAGACCCATTAAAATGGACCTCCGTTAACAGTCGCCTATGTACTGTTCAGTTCGACAGCTCCGTAAGAACTCGGAAGGATCGGGCCACACATCGTTGCCTTTTCGTCGTTTCTACCTACGCTCCCACTGACTGCAGCTCGGATGAAGTGAAAGATTACTTTCACAGGACGTTTTCTGAACTCCTTCATAAAGCTAGATGCTTAGATATAGTACTCGTAGCGGGTGACTTTAATGCCCATGCAGGTATCTTACATCAAACAAAGAGACATTTAGGTGGATGTTTTAGTATTCCGGTTCAGCAAACAGATAATGGTGACCATCTGTTGAAACTGTGCTCAGACAATCGTTTATTCTTAGCAAGCATTAATTTGAAGCATAAGAAGAGATATCGTTTAACATGGCGAACCCCTGCACCAAGCCATTGATGAACTCAAATAGACCATATTATCATCAGTCATCGTTGGTGATGCTCGACAGAAAACTGTCGCTCTTTCTGAAATATGTCTTTAGACTCTGATCATGCTTGCTTCATTAGACACAGAAAAGCCACATTAAGAAGATCTACTAGGGTTGAACTCAGTGACGAGAAAGACAAAAGTAGATTCCAAGAACAACTGAGGTCACAATTAGGTAGTTCTGAAAACGAGGATGACCCATACGTTGCTTGGAAAGATATATAAACAGCTGTGGAAACAGCAGCGACATATACTAATGTTTTAAGCCAAAGGGTCACGAAAAACCAATGGAATTCTACGAAGTCTATTGCACTGATAGATTCCCGTAAACTCACCCCATCAGGCTCTGAACACGATGAAGAGCGTAAAGAAATCAGATCTAGGTTAAACATAAGTCTATGGAACGATCGTGAGCAGTGGTGGGGAACGAAAGCAAAAGATATGAAAAAGGCAGAGGCTGTAGGTAACGCAAGACAGCTCTACAGACTAATAAAAGAAACTGGTATTAATAAGTCAAATGTAGGTGAGACTATTTCGGAAAAAGACGACACTCGCATCTTCTCCCAGTGCAGACGTTAAAACGACGGGCGGAACACATTAAGGAGCAGTTCAGCTGGCCTTTAGCTACTCTACAACTACCTACTATTCCCAGACAGCTTAAATGGAACATTGAATCAGCCCCCCCCCCCCGACCTTAAGTGAAGTTCAAAAAGCTATAGCTAATCTAAAACGATTAAGTGCAGCTGGTCCAGATGGATTGGCTCTAGAGGTCTTTAAAGATGGGGGTCTAGCTTGAACGACTGGGTTGACTAATATTTGAGCCAAAATCTAGAAGGTGAACGCAATCCCATCTGACTGGTCGCAATCACTTATTGTCCCGATAAACAAGAAAGGGTCAAAATCATCCTGTGATAACCGTAGAGGGATTAGCTTGACTAACATAGCATCTAAAATACTAGCCTGAATAATTATCGGGCGCCTAACTAAGACTCGTAAACAGCAAGCACGAGAAAATCAAACTGGCTTCGGACCTGGTTGTGGCTGCGTCGATCACATATTCACCATTCGTTAGGTTCTAGAATACAGGCATGCTTATTGGCGTACTCTGATAATTTATCTTGACTCAGAAGCAGCATTTAGCTCTGTAAACCGGCAGGTTCTGTGTCAGCGTCTGTCATTGATAGGCGTACCTCAGAGGTACATAAACCTTATGAAGGCTCATCACTCAAACATTACCAGTCGAGTCAGAGCTTATGGCGAACGGTCATCTGATTTTGCAATCTCAAGCGGTGTCTGTCAAGACTGTCCACTATCTCATTTTTTGCTCAGTTTCACCATAGACCTACTGATGCAAATAACGTTATTGTCAACTGAATTTTCGGGAATTGATCTTCTACCAGGAGGTCCACTTATTGACTTCGAATACTCGGATGACATAGTCCTGTTTGTTCAAGACGGTGATTAAATGAAGAGTCGTTTGATAGCGTTGGGCGACAATGCCAGGATCTTTGGAGTGCATTTCTTATCCTCCAAATGCACCTAAACTAGAAATAGGTAGTACAGTAGTCGGACACGTCAACAACTTCACTTACCTTGGAACTTGGTGTCTGACGAAATCTCTGTACAGATTCAAGAAGTTTGTTTGGCTTTTGCCAACTTATATCAACCATGGCGAAGACCAGATATCCTTAATATTGAGGTTGGACGCAGGATATTATGGAATGATGGTAAATAGATTGATGAGGTTGTATATCTTCATGAACTGAGATGGTTTGGCCACGTGTGGCGTATGCCTGAACACCGATTGCCACGGCGTGGAATGCTGATTACTGTTGCGGATGTTCGGAAGAAAGTTAGGAGCGGCCAAACCAAGACGCGGAATCGGTGCCTGAAATCACTAACTTCTAGTTTGAGCCATGTTGGTAGATGCAGACTACTTGGTTGATGTCCGCGTGACTATCGTAACCAATGGTTAGAGACTTTTGGTGACATGGCTCAGAATCGATCACAATGGCGCAGGTGCATACACTCTTTGTCTTCCCTTGAACCATGAGGTCAAAACCACTTCATAACTTTCTTTCTATGAACTAATTCTTTCGCTTTGTATCATATCCTTAGATTAAATGTTTTTGTTTTACGACCATTGAAGTAAATGATTCTATGAATTTGGTGTTGATTTTGTTGTGCTAATGAGGTATGGCGACTTGAACCAACGCATATGTGTACCTGGTTCTACGTTGTGGCTGACTAACTGACTGAACACGCATCAGTTAGTCGTGCGCCGTGGACTGGCCTCTCCGGTTGTGGTCTTACATTATCTTGTACCTATTATGACCAATATATTTCCGTAACAAGGTCCTTTGTGTTGTACGGTCTTCATGGCATCCATAATACCTCGACACGACGAGGAGCTAATCTGAATTAGGTGCTGACTGCGTCGCGTGACTTCGACAATAGTTGTTAGTCACACCATTCCCGTCTAACTCGATCAGGCCCCCAATCACTCGACATAGATCATCTGCATTGGTGATCTACAATATTTATCAGCCCAATTTTAGGTATTTGCAAATTTAGAAGAGCAGCCTCTAAGGACTACATTATCGGATAAATAAAAAACTGTTAACAATTCATATGGAAATTAGTGTAAAAAATGTGCCTTTTATTCACTTCAATATTGTGAAACTATTCGTAATTCGGTTATTTATTCTCTGAAGAAGTGGCTTCCGCTGAGTCACGAAACGTCAGAAAATTTAATTTTTTTATTCATTGGGATATGACAAACATATTTTTTGAAGTTTTTGATCGAGATCATGAACCGATTGTTGTTGGGCCACCATTGAAAACCTGAACGCACTAGACGGCCGTTTCGTTCTATTGTTGGACTCCCGAGCAATGCGCATCCACGATCTCGTTCGCAGGATCCAGTGCTTACAGGCTTTCAATGATGGTCTAACACCAATCAGTTCATCATCTCGATCAAAAACATAACAATCCCTACAACCCCTAAATTGATATTATTTTTATCTATAGCAATCTGTCAAATGTCCAATTTATTTGAAATTATCGAAGTCAAACCTTGATAATGATACCTACATTAAATTCTGTCGCGTAAGCTTGACGATATCCTTTTAGAAGGACTATGACGCATTATGGTGAGGGCCGACATTTTCGGAAATTACAAGGCTGATGCCCCTTCTAAAAACCAGAGAAAAAATAAATGGTCCGGGCAATACGGAAGATCTAGAGGGTCAATCAAATGGCTACCCAAATGAGGAGATAAAAATTGACAGTGCTCGCAATAGGCGA